AGATGCTAAGGGCAGAAGGGCTCACGTCCTATATACCATATGCCATTAAATTTTACCCAGTAGCCCTATACTGAGCCCAGTAACATGGGCTAAATTAAAGCATTTCAGTCCTCAGGAGGCTAAACTGTTTTGTGCCATAGGCAAAGAGGAGGAGAGGCCAAGGTGCCACAAATGCCTGAGGTCCCAAGAAATTGACTAGGTGAGATTTTTCCTAGATGATTTTAGCAAGTGATCCACACTCAATGCTGCTGAGGAAGGTGAAAGAACCTTGAACTCCCTGCAAATCTGGCCTGAGTTAAAATTCCTTCCCAACCCCAAATCTGATGATCAGTTTGACCCTGAGCATGTGATCAAGATATACCAGCCAAGCATGTGAGAAAGAGGAATTTCTGTATCGCCTCAGAGCACCAATCCACCCTATCCAGCGTCCCATCATCAACTGTGGCCAGTCCTTGATGCTTCACAGATCGGTGGAAAATATATCAGAATCAACTGTCCAATTGTATATTAGAAATAAAACTGCTTCCTGATCCCTGTAGGTGACAAGTTAGAGCCCTGAAGCATGAGGTTGGATTATAGTCACTCCATGCCAAACTGCGAATGTTGTGAGCATGTTAAGGGCACTGCAGAGCTTCCGTGTCTCTCCAGGCCCATGAAGCAGGGAATGAATGTGGGGAGTCATAGATTCATAGACTCACCGTTACCATGCAGCCTGCCTGGCCCCCTACACACACAGGCTATTGAATTTCCCTCACAAACTGGACTTAGAAGAGTGGTTCTCAAACTGAGATGCGTGCTCCCCTGGGGCGGGGGGCGGAGGAACATTCGGGGGGCACTCGGTGGGGGCGCGGCCAGCCTCCACGGTGGGCAGGGAGGTAGCGTCATGCTTCCAGCCCTGCTCCTCCCCCAAACCCGCTCCACCGCTGATCTCATTCAGCCCCCAGTCCTGCTCTGCCTCCAGGCCCAGCTCTGCTGTCACTCCCTCTCTGCCCCCAGACCAGGTCCAACCCAAGCCACAGCTCCACTCCACCCCCTTCTCCGCCCCCCAGCCCAGCTCTTTCTTCATTCCCTCTCTGTCTCTAGACCAGCTCCACCCCCAGCTGCAGCTCCACTCTGCCACCTGCTCCGCCCACAGTCGGACTCTGATTCTGTCTCTGCCCCCAGACCAGCTCTGCCTCTAGTCCCAGCTCCTCCACCGTCCCCAGCTCCACCTTCAGCTCAAGCTCCACTACCAAGAAAGCCTTGGCTGTGCAGTAATGGAGCGGGCGGGGGGCGGGCGGAGGAGGGGAGTGGACAGATTCTGTTACTGGGAATGGGGGGGGGGCACGACTGGAAAAGTTTGAGCACCACTGTTCTAGAAAAATATTTAATCTCACTTTAAAGACTCCAAGGGGTGGTGAGTCTACCACCTCCACTGGTAAACTATCCCAATGTTTGATTAATCTCACTGCTTCAAAATTGCATCTTATTTTAAGGTTGAATTTGTCTAACTTCACCTTCCAGCTGGTAGATTTTGAAATGAGTTTTGTCAACAAGACTGAAAAGCCCCTCGCTATCAGATATCTTTGCCATGTGTATGCACCTATCCACAGTGATCAAGTGTGACCCATGAACCTGTCAGTGTCAATGGGCAGAGGACACATGGGGTGCATAGAGTTTTACAACTATCCCCTGCATCGGATATATGGATAGTAATTCACTAAAGGCTGGCATGTGAAGTCTCTGAGACAGTGGCCCATTGGCGGCAGGTATCGTAGGCCGGGAAAGGCTAAGCCTCCCCTAACCCAGGCCGTGGCCCCGCCCACGCTCTGCCCTGAGGCCCCACTGTTGCTCCCCCTCTTCCCTGAAACCAGCGGGAGCTCAGCTCCAGCGGGCAGGGTTGACCTTGGGGCTCTGGCAAGCGGGGGGGCCTTGGATGGAAGGGGCAGGGCCAGGAGCTAGCATCCCCGTAGGGGGGGGGGGGGAACGTTCATAATTGTGAAATGTACATACAGCTGACATTTAAGCAGTTATATGTCTATATTAAGAATTATGTTCTTACAGCAGATAACCAGGAGGTGAGATGTTTCAGACAGGTTTTTTTCAGGCTGGGGATAATAGACACCTATCTCCCTGTCTGGTCATTGTATATTGTGTGTCTCACAATGTATGTCTATTTGCACACTGAGCCAGATGCTGATTAAGAGATTATGAAATCTACAAGAAAGGAGTATACAGGAAAAAACAACCAGCAAGGGACTTCCTGTTCATGAATAAGGACAACAATTGTTCTGCTCTATCTGGGGGTACAAACAGACACCCTGGATCTTCACCGAGAAGGCAAGCTGACAGGGTGATCTGGCTCATGAATGGAAGACCACAGCCAAGCTTGGCTGTAAAATGCTGGAAACACTTTGGGTGAGCATTGCTCTGTAAGATGTGAAAGTATCTAGTTAAGTAAGTTTGGTTCTAGAATGCATGTTATGATTTTGTTTGATAAGAAATCATTTGTTTGCAACGCTTCTACTTGCTATCACTTTACTCTTTGTACATTGTTAAATAAACTTTTACTTGTTTTCACTATCTGAGTGCTGTATGTTAAGCGGAGCAGTGGTCTGAGGTATAACTGGTAAGCTGGGGTGTCCTGCTTCTGTGGCAACACCGAATCAGTGAATACTGTGTCCAGTGGAAGAGGGGCTAGACCCTCCAGGGAGACACTTGGAGGGCTCGAGGGCTGGAGTGTGCTAAGCTGCAGAGTAACAGTGGGGCTGTGATGCCTAGAAGGGAGTGCTTGTGTTACCTGTGGCTGGTAGAGTCGGGGAGCTGGCCCATGGCAGGCATAGACAAGGCCTCCTCACACTAAGTGCAGGCGAGGTGCCTCACAACCATGGCTGCTGCTGGGAACTGTCACATCAAGCCACCCCTCAAGTCCTCTACAGCAAGGGGGAAGCAGGGAGGGAGCTGTGTCTCCCTGTGCTGCTTATTCGGTGACACAGCTACGTGCCAAGCCATGTGGCAAAGTCAATTTAGCCCTGAAACATTAAAAGTGCCCCACCATTTCCTGATCCTGTGGTGGGAGCTCCATCCCTATGGATTTGAAAAGTGCCTTTGTAAACTCATTTCCATTTCCCAGACTGCCTTTGTGTGTGTGTGTGTGTGCCCACTCTTCATCATGTGAGCTTGAAAAACAATATCCTTATGCCATTCTAGTCAAAAAAAGCCTCTTTGAGGGGGGTTTTATAAGTAACTCCTCCAGTGGGATTTTTAGGTGTGTCCAGATTTTCTCTCATACCTTTTGTATTCCTGATTAATTTAAAAATGTTCAAATGTATCTAGTGAAAAGTTTAGAAACAGCTACCCACAGCACATAACAGGTGGCACACACACACACACACATATATATAATATGGAGACCGTTCAGCCCTGATCAGTTATTTTTCTTCACTGCTGAAATGTCTATTTTATTTCAGAACACAACAAGGTAACTGGATCCTGCTCTTTGCTATTTTGACTAGACTTCCCATTTTTTCCGTGTTTTTCAGCGGCTTGGATCTAGGCACCACTTAGGAAGTGGGAAACAACCGGTGGAGTGAGGAAACTGAAAACACAAGTGTATGAGAGCCACTTGGATTTTCATCTAGACAAAGGGGCTTTGTGTTTAAATCGTTGCAAAAGAAGGAGCAGGAATGAACGCTCATTGAGGGCATTAGGGAAGATCCTGCAGTTTCATGTCAAAATGTCATATTTATTCTACTATATTGCACTGGGGCTTTTTTTTTTCCAATTACAATTACAAGGGAATCATGTTTTTAGACCCTTGCCCTTCTAATATGTTTGACCTCTGTCCACTGTGATAAACTGACCCAACACATTTCTGTCTGGTTCAAGACCTATAAAATTGCCCTCTCCACAGGGCTGGCTCTGGCTTTTTTGCCGCCCCAGGCAAAAAAGCTTCCCGCCGCCCGCCGCCCCCCGCCCCCCGGCGGGGAGCGCGGCAGGGGAAGGCGCCGAGCCCGGCCGCGGCCCCGCTCTCCCCGGCCAGCCGGAGCGCCGCGGGGAGGGCGGCGAGCCCGCCGCAGCTCCGCCTTCCCCGGCGGCGGGCGGGGGAGAGGGAGGGCGGCGAGCCCACCGCGGGCCCTGCTCTCCCTGACCGGCTGGAGCGCCGGGGGAGGGCGGCCCCGCTCTCCCCGGCCGGCCGGAGCGCCGCGGGGAGGACGGCGAGCCCAGTCGCAGCCCCGCTCTCGGACCTGAGCGCCGCCCCCCTCCAGGTGCCGCCCCAAGCACATGCTTGGTAGGCTGGTGTCAAATTCACTGTCAAATATTTTAATGACTTGCCCTTGCACTGTGATTCTAATAAATCATATATCACCCCACAACCCTCTCAGAGCTCAAAGTCCTGCCCCCCTTTCCTCAAACTGTTTGAGGAAAGGGGGGCAGGACTTTGACACAGCCCAGTGCGAGAAAACATTAGGTTGGCTTAGAAGATAATAGTCTGGTTTAAATCAACACTTTGGTTATTGCGAAGTGGGAGGGGGGCAGTGTGAGATTGAAGGAGGGGAGGGCAGAGCAGGTTTAGTTTTCAGATTTAAAGGACTAAAAGTGCCCTTGATTCTCTTGGTTAAACACCCACACTCCTTTTCGCTGTGAATGAGTTGGTTTCCCAAGATCATTGCTTCCCTCCACCCCTCCCCCTTCTTCCTTTAAAGGAAAAGGCTAAAGGGAGAGATGCGATTCAGGTTCCAGTCTCCCTGCTTGCGATTGCGCGGGACAGATGTGCAGCAAACTCTCAACCGCTGGGTCTGGGCGCTTCCCACTCCGCCCCCTACCCCCGCAGGGGTTAAAGTGAGAGAAAGAACCTGAGGATCGAGTCTCACTCCGGCATTGGATGGAAAAGTTGGAGCCCCGCCTCGGATTGGCTGACAGCATTTTAGAGGGAGCTGTAGCCTCCAATTAAAAAGGCACGGGTCGGGCAGGCTGCGGAGAAGGCTTGAACGGCAGCCGTGTTAACTAGCCCCACTCTAGCCCACAGCAATTTACACACAAGTCATTCACTGGCTGCTGCCAGGAGTACGCACTGTAGCACGCTGCTATAGTGCACCGAGAGAGCTGACACCTTGAAAAAAGAGGTGGGAGAAGGAAAGGACGAGGCTTGTAATGGATCTGAGCCCAGGAATTCAAAAGGTGAGTTACAACTTTATCTGCCCCTTCTGTTTTGTGTATTCCCTTCTCCCCCCCCCCCCCCCCCCCCTACCACTTGCCTGGCAAGTCAGGAGTGGTTACGTTTTGGGTTTTGGTGTGTGTGTGTGTGTGTGTGTTTTTCTTTTTCTTTAGCTAAGTAAAGCCTTTAAATATATCAATGCAATTTCCCCCTGAACACAGGCTCGATGTGGTGTCACCTTGATTTTTCCTGTGCTAATGCCAGTGGAGGTGTTAACTTACCCTCTTGGCTGAGGAGACTGTAATGTTTTCCAAAGTACACAGTTAATCTGCTGTCACTTTGTAGGATTTGCTTTCAGCCCCCTTGGGACTAATTCCAACATCAGCGTACTTCAGAGAGGACGATCAGAAAGGTAGCCTGTGGAGTTTAACAAAGTGGTAGGTAGCCTATTTTGGTAGATCTTTAATAAAATCTCCATTTCCCTTCACCTCTTGTAGCTTCTTTGGCCATTGCCAAAATGATCATTCAAAGTACTGAGAGCAGCAACTCTGGCACAAGGTAGCTAGCCTCTCTCTCCAGAGTCTGAACACTTCACTCCCACAGTGCTGGCCTGGTGCCCAGTTAAGTGTGTGTATGTTTAAAAAAAAATGTGCAGGTCAATAAATAAAACGGAGAGTAGTTTGTTACTCCCCTAGCTTGAAGGCAGATAACTTACCTGCACACAATGGCAAGAAGCCAGATTCTGGAAGGAATTCAGTTCCCCACTCAGTGTAGTCATTTATCTCCTAAGGAGATGGAGGACTAGCCCCAGTGAGTGCAGTTAATGATTCTTTCCAAATCTCTTTTTGAGGTAGTTATCTAGCAGTGGAAGGCTTGCCTGACAAAACTTGATGCCTAAATGCATGATGGGAAAGCTGGGAATGATCTCTTCTGAAAGTTGAGATGCTTTATAAACTATTTCACCTCGGGCTGTTTTACAATGAGGTGGGAGTTTAATTTAGAATTCACTCTCCTCAGTAGAGTGGAAATCAGCTTAAAAATGGGTTTGGTCTTGTTCCTTTCCTTGGTAGAGTTGGATTATAGGAGGAACATTTTCCCCCTTATTGCCACTTCCTTAATTGTCAGCATGTTGTACATGCCTGTGAAGATCTTTTCATTTTTCTCCAAGGCTCCAATTATATATTTTGGAAAAAAATCTTATGTGCTTGAAGTGGGAGGGGAGAGATTTTTATACACCAGGGAGCTGCAGATAGTGGGAGATTTCAATTCTATGGTTTTTGCCCAATTTTGTGTGTGATATTTCCTCAGTATCCACTGTAAGGGGTTGTATGTAGCTGCACGCCCCCAAAAGAAGCCTGTGATGGAATGGTGGCTTAGAGTGGCATGCATGCGTACATTCAAGGCTTGATCCATCAAGCTCTGAGCACATGCTTCACTTTAAGCATGCGAGTAGTCTCATTTACTCCAATAGAACTACTCCTGCTTAATTGTAAGTAGGTGTTCTTGGGTGCTGTGCTGGCTCAGGGACAGCATGCTAAGCATTTTGCAGGATCACACTGTAGTGATCAGGAATCAGAATGGTTTCCACTACGCTTCTATGACTTATAGAAGTGAATTCTTAGTGTGATGGTATTAGACTACTTCCATCCCTTTCTGGGCCTGATCCAAAGCACACTGAAGTTGACTGGGGTGTGTGTAGGGAAAATCCATTGACTTACATGGGCTCTGGATCCAGTGCATAAACAGCAGACACAGAGGGAAGGAATGTTACAAAATAAGTGCATTGTTATGTGTAATATAAAACATTATGCACGAAGTACATTTATTAAAGTTCCCTATGGATTTTTTTTCTAAGAGTTGACCTATATAAAGTTGTGGTGGGTTTTTTTTTTTTTGGAGAGGCAAATGTGTATATCGAGAACTTACTTCAGTAAAACTTCAATTGGCCAAAACCAATTACTAGTCCTTATCTAATCTAAACTGATGTGTATCATAACTCTGACCATCAGCCTCTAATAGAGACTTAGATCACCTTAGAGAGACCCTGTGGGTGGGTGGATTTTTTTTTTGTTGGGGGAGGAGGAGGAAGGAGGTTGTTGTTGTTTGAGACTGGGGAATTTCCATTATCTTTTATCACCTTTACTCAGGAAGTGAAGTCCCAGGCCACTTCCATTCTTTTCTTTGAGTCAGAACAACTGAACGCCATCCCAGTGTGACTCCTGACTTCAAACTGAATTTAAGAGCTGTTATTCTCCAGAGAAAAGATACATGGCATATGTTGCCAGGGAACTGGGGGGCTTTATGGCTTTATCTTATACACCTGCATGGCAGCATAACTAGGGAAAGAAAGGAAACCACCTCCTTGAAGTGAGATCAAATGCATCTCTAGATTTCTGCACTGTCAAAATAACACATTTTGGATTTCTTTACAATAATATCTTCTTACCTTGCTACTTAATGGCAACAACCCTGGTAGCATGGTGCCCCCCAGGAGCTGGATGGGGGCAGCACCCACTGACTAGCACGGGTGCTGAGTCTCATGGCCTCTGTGCAGATGGCTGTAGCCACCCTGGGATCTACCAGATTTGGAGGCAGGTACTCAGGCTTTGAGGTGGGAGAAATGGGTGGCACATCTACTGTCACCAGCTAACACCTTCCGTGAGCGATTCCTTGCAGAGAACATCTCCCCCAAAATCCCCCTCCTGGCTGTTTAATACAGGAGAGGAGGCTCTGTCTGTGTGACTGATCTATGGCTCCCTCTATTTGGAGTAGTGCTGAGCAGCAGCAGCAGCACTCCCTTCCCTCTGAGACTGGGACCATAGCCCTGCTTTCTCACTGCCCTACCTGCTCCCTATGGTGCAATGTAACCCCATGGGTGCACACTACTGTGCTCCTCTGAGCTCAGGGACTATGGCTGTGACAGGTCCTTGCGCCAAATTCCTGAGGAGAGGCAGCTCCTTTGGCTTGCCCTCCGTAAACCCTCCCAAAGGCCAGTCACAGTCTAGCCCTGAACATCTAACTGATCTGTGCTGTCTTCTCCCTCTCATCCTCTTCCTCTCCCTCTCCAACTCTGCCGGCTGTTCTCCATGTGGTCATCAACTCCCCATCTTTCATTCCCACCTGATCCATGTTGGAATGCTGCCTGGTTGAGATGACTGTCATTAGCATTGCTAGTCTATTGACATTGGTTCCACTGACTGTACAGCACACTTATATTTGTATTTATAAAGCCCTTTATTGCCAAAATGTCATTGCATGCCATGTGGAGGCAATGGCCCAATCTCACAGCCTGAAATGATCCCTAGCAGAAACCACACAATGACCGTGAAATCTGAAGTATATGGGGCAAAAAATTTAGTGGTAGCTTTTGGTCATTCAGGAATACTTCCTCTGGTGCCCAGAAATGAGGCTTTCTTAGGGAAGCTCAGAAGAGGAAGCTCACTCTTTGGTAGCTTGTAGTGTAGATGCAAAGGGTGTGATTCCCAGCTCATGTAGACATAGTTGCGTTAGCTCTCCTCTGAGATAGCATGCTGAAAATAGTAGTGCAGCTGTGGTAGCACAGGCAGCAGTATCACATGGTAGCAGTACGGCGTATGTACCCGTGAGGTGTGGTGCATTTGTACTCAGGGTGGCTAGCCCCCAAAAAGTTTGGGGTGTTTTGGAAGCTTTCATGGGGCAGAAAATTTGTTTTCCAACCAGCTCGAGCTACTCTTCCCTCATGGTGCAACTCATGATGTGGATACCATATGCAGGAGAACAAGGGGACTTCTTCTCTCCCCTTACTGCCCAGTGTGAGTATATACTATGAGTGACAAATTATGCTCTGAGGTAACAATCTCTACACTAGGCTGTTCTCTCCCAGAAGTTCTTCATATGTGATTTGTGAAGGAGAAGGGACAACGATGCGGCACAGCTGTGGAACACAGAAGGGATACTTTGCACTCTGGATGCAGAAACTTGTCAGTCTTTCCGAAAGATAAAGCTTTATACAGAGCTGTCATTGCTGAAAGCAGATGTCATCAGCAACTTTGAACTTCATTTAAATGTGTGACAAGCATTGCATGAGTATCTCATCTGCATTACAGGGATGTGGGGTCATGTTGACGTGTTTTTGCACAGTTGCTTCTGACGGGTCAAAATACGGCTTAAAAACCCCTGCATCTATTAACTCAATGATATATCTCCTTATCTTCTGTAATTGTTCTGACAAGTTGTCTGTCTCCTATCACCTGAATCTGAACCAAGAACAACAGTAAAAGGAAAAAAGTCCCAGCTAGTTGACCATTAAAAAGGGAAATGCAAGATATTTTTCTTGGTATTATGTAACTGCATCAATCTGTCTGAATAATAGAATATGTTCAAAGACACATGGGTGTCTTTGCAGCAGACAGCTGTTTAATTTCCTGAATTGTGAGAAGGGCATTTTTTCTAGGCACAGGGTGAGCTACTGTCAACTATTAATTTGGCTTGGCAGTGTCACACAACCAGTCTGAGCAAGTTTACAAATGAGTCTGGAATTCATTAGAGCTTGTTCCAGGGCCCTGAAAATGTGACTTTTTTTCTTCTCAAATCACTGGGTTTAGTTACTGCTGATTTCTCACTCAGTGTATTATGGGACTCCTCTGAGGAAATTAAAACAAGGTGAGGGGAAAGCATTCTGTTTGGAAAATCAGTTGTTTAGATTAAAGTTTGAAATCCAAACAAAGATCTAGGTTGACATTTTGCAGTTTATTGGAAACATTTGAATGGGAACAGAGAAACAAGGATTCATGGGCTTCTCCCCCTGAATTCAAACAATAATTTGATCAGGAAAAGGAAATAAACTGTGTTCCAAGCCAAGCTGAAGTTTTGTTCAGGTGATGCAAATGTTTTTATTCTTTTTCTTTTAATTTTTATAGCAGGGGATGGACATAGCAAAATAAAAGCTGTGCTGCCCAAGGTGGGCAAGCTAGAGAGAACGGAGGAGCATAAGCTTTTGCCATAGTGGATCTGATCATTGGTCTGTCATACCTGGAATTCTGGG